ATCCTGCGCCGGCGCACCACTCGCGGGAGCTGAACACGATGCAAAATGCGTTCTGGGTTCTTGAGCCCCCTAGCTCGCTCCAAAATGATGGAAGCATTGCAGCGCAGAATGTGGCAAGCCAAGTTTTAAAGCCAACTACTTCGCGGACCACCTCGGCTGGGATCTGAGCGCTCGCCGAACGCGCCGTGGCAAGTGCATCGGCGATCGCATTGATGAAAAGACGATGTGAGTTCAGAGACGTCGCACAACGAGCAAGTTTAGCAACATCATCGGCACAAGGACTTGGCGTGTACACTAACTCAAACAAACCTGACCTTAAGTCAAGCATCTGCCAGAGACCCACCACAAGTCAGCATTCTGCAACCGAACGGTGTGGTGACGTCCCCTATGAAAAGCTTTCTGGTGATTGATGTGGTCGGCGACAACCGTCACATGGTGATCACGTGCCACGCGGCGCACAACCTCCACAATAGCAACCAATTCGGCGCGCGGCACCGTCTGGCGCTGACTATCCAGAACTCCGTGCGCCCCGCTATCCCAAGCAAGATCAGGATCAACGCAAAGACGCGCGAACCCGAAAATAACCCGTCACAACATGGGATCGGTAGCACAAGGGCCTCTAGAACCGTCAGCACCGTACGTCCCCCCAAGAAGAGGACCGTCATGGCATCGGAAAACTCCAAAGCCCGATCCTCTGGAAATCCTGGAAGACGAAGCCAACCCGTCGGAATGAGACCACGGCACCAAAATATAGGATTCTCTGCGATGGCAATACCAATAAGGGCTTGCTGACAAAGCTCGTTGCTCTTGGTGATGTGCTCACAAGCGGAATTCGCATGACAAGAGCAAACCCCTAAATGACATGACGAATCAACCGATTCATGACACTGCTGGCAAACAGGATCTGGCGCAATCTTAGCAGAATGTTTGGGTTCCTCTGGCCAGCATCCGCCGCATGCATCAAGCCGTATCATGCGGCACAGCGCCTCGTAACCATCTTTGGGAGGAGGCAGAGGAGGAGGAGGACGAGGAGGAGGAGGAGGAGGAGGAGGAGGAGGAGGAAAAGAAGGACGAGGAGGAGGAGGAGGAGGAGGAGAAGGAGGTGTAGGTGAGGAGGAGGAGGAGGAGGAGGAGAGGGGGGAGGAAAGTGAAAGAGGGAGGAAGGAGGGAGAGGAATAGGAGGAGGAGGAGGAGTAGGAGGATGAGGAGGAGGAAAAGGGGGAGGAGGAGGAGGAGGAGGAGGAAGGAGAGGAGGAGGAGAGAGCCGGAGGCGGAGCGGAGGAGGAGGAGGCGGAGGCGGAGGAGGAGGAAAAACAGCAGGAGTAGGAGGAGGAGGAGGAAGAGAGTGAAGAGGGGAGAGGAGGAGGAGAAGGAGGAGGAGGAGGAGGAGGAGGAGGAGGAGGAGGAGGAGAAGGAGGAGGCGGAGGAGGCGGAGGAGGAGGAGGAGGAGCAGGAAGAGGACGAGGAACGGTCTCGCCTGGGCGTGTTTGGGCGGGGGGAGCGGCGACGATGTGGGCGGCTCGGCGCCGATGGCCAGACGGGGGGCCGGGCGGCCGGGAGGAAGGGGCCGGGCGGCGGGGGAGGCGCCCTCCGCTGGCCGTGGCCGCGTGGCTCAATGGGCCGCCCGCGGGAGGCACCCGCCGTCACGGACGCCCGCCACCCTTGGAAGCGAGAAGGGAGGGGAGCCAGCCAGAGTTGGCGGCGCGCACAGGGGTGGTGGTAGGGGGAGGGGGAGACTTCTTAGAAGCAGGGGTGCTTCTGAGAAGCCTTCCCCCCTCCCCATACCCCCCCCTCCTGCGCGTGGCTGACAGAGGTGCGAGGCGGGGATCTATCCATATCCACCGCCTCGGAACCGACGCCCTGGGTACCCAGCGGGCGATGGATGTGGATGTGCGTGGGCCCCCTGGGGCCAAAATACTTTGCACCGCGCTCGCCCGTCCAGGAGGCTTCAGCGTGCTAGGCGTAGCCATCATCAAGGCAGGCTCCTGCCCCGACGCGTGCAGCGCTGCGGCCACACGGCACAGTCGAGAGCGAGGCCGAGCGCACCACCTCTGCGGCGAGCTCGGACCCCGCTCGCCTCACGCTCTCGATTTCTTCGGGAAGAGACCACATCCGCCGCCCGCGGAGGTCCGCGAAGGTCGATACCACAGGCGGTGGCTGTGGACGAATCCCCGCCTCGGATGCTAAAAAGCCTCCCACCCTGCCCCGCCCCCCCCCTCCCCAGACCCCAGACGTCGTGATTTATTCACGACGTCGACCCCCAGAGGTCTGGACCCCCTCCCCGGACCGGCTCTTCATCCCGGGCCGTTTTTTCACGGTCTCGAGGCCTGGCGAGGGCCCCCAGAGGCCGAAAATAGCGGAACACCTCCCGTCGTGGCCTCTTCACAGCGCGAGGGGGTCTCGGCTCTGCGCGTCGCTGACAGAGGAGGGCGGGCCGCCTCGCGGGCCGCCTCGCGGGAGCACCCCGACGCATCAGGGCGGCCTCGTCGGGCGAGGTGCCCACGGACACCCCGCGGCGCGCGGGGCGCGGCCGCGGGAGGCCTGGAGACCCCCGACGGCGCGGGGGAGGCGAGGACGAAGCCAGGACGAGGATACGGTCGAGTGGGGATAAATCGAGTGGGGATAAATCCAGGGAGGATGACTTCGAGTGAGGATGATTTCGAGGGAGGATCAAATCGAATGAAGCTATATTCGAGGGAGGATGAATCGAGAACCTCTGAGATCCGGCTGCCCTGGAGGATTTATCGGGCGCCGCGGCCTTATCACAACGTTCCGGAACGCTCCGGGAATGTGCGCCGCGGCCTCCTGGACTCCAGAACGCCCTGGAACGGATTTATCCTCGCCCTGGCCCCAGAGAAGGCGAGGCGCGTGGGCGACCTGGCGCAAGCCACGTGCGGGGCCTGGGCGCGGGGAGAAGCAAGCGGCCGCGCCCTGGTGCGGCGGTGGGCCAGAAGCGCCCACGGGGTCGCCCGCTCCCCGGCGGCACAGGCGGGATGCCGTCCTGCCCCGCCCCTTGATCGAGCAGGGACCGACCGTCCCAGCATTCCTACAGGCCTACCGCGAAATGTTCTTAGAACCCCCAAGTGTTCGAATAACACAGAACCATGTTCTCAGAACAAAAACCCGATGTGCTAATCCAAGACGGTCTCAAGCCAGAAATGTTCGAAGAACATTTGCAAGCCACAAAAGATTGTTAGAATATTCTTTGGTGGGCCTAGAGGCCAGCCAGGGCGCCTCGCCACTGCTTGCCTTGAGGTCCTTGACGACGCCGCGCCGTTGCTCACCGTTCAGACGGCGCCAGTGCCGAACGGATCCGCTCCCACGCGTCGGCCAGGGCGCGCAGGAACCTAAGCTCGAGCAGACGCGGGTCGTTGCGACAAAGAGGGGGGACCTGGGGCGGCTCACAAGAGGAATTGCGCCCAGATGGCCAGACGCCCCGTGAAGGCCAGACCTGCTGGACGTGCCTATGCAAGGAGGTTGGCGTTGGGGTAGGCGGTCGCCTCCACGTACCCGCGGGGCTGCCCCGAAGCGGGCACGTGGTTCGCCTGGATGCCCATGCCCATGCGCGTTTGGTGGCCGAAGGCGCGGCCAAAGAAGTGGCGAACTGCTCGTCAGAGCATCATCCACGGTCGCCTTGCGCGATCTTCATCTTGATGAGGAACTGGCGCCAGGGGCGAGCTTGGCGGAAGCCGAGCTGCACACGAGCCTGAACAACGAACACCTCGTCGCGCGTCGAGAGGGCCGTGGTGGGTGTAGGTGCGATGTGGGCGAAAGGAACGGCCGCCGGCGCCGTATGGCCTCTGCGCGTGGGGGTGCGGGGCTGGCCTCGCCTTAAGCGCTGCGGCCGCTGGGCGCGAGGAGGAGGAGCAGCAGGAAGAGGAGGAGGAGGAGGAGGAGGAGCAGAAGGAGGAGGAGGAGGAGGAGGAGGAGGAGGAGGAGGAGGAGGAGGAGGAGGAGGACCAGCGCGCATCCTGAAAAGGGGTTCTGCCGTCTTGGCTGCAAACGCGCGGCGGCGCGGAGGCGCGGGGCGCGCCTGGAATACCGGGTTGGCGAGATCGGGCCGCGCGCAGGGGGGTCCCACTCCCTCCCCCGCACGCTCCCCGCTCCGACCCTACCTACCCTCCTCCCTCTCCTGCTCCTGCTGCTCCTGGGCTAAATTTGCCAGGAGCTGGGCCAGGGGGATAAAGGGGTGAAGCTGCACACTGAGCTTCTTGGGGCGCCTCCCTTGACAAATCCCATACCATGCATAATTGGATGCACGCTTCTGGGCGTCCGAAAAACGCATGGGACAAAAGCTGCACAGGTTACGTGGATTCGAGACCGCATCAGCTCCACAAATCTGACAAGCAATCAAGAAACACGTGCCTGTCTCAAACTCGGCCACCACCAGCGGTAGCCGTGACTGTCAGCAGCGAGAGTTTTAAGAGGGATATTGCCAGTGCACTTCTCGTTGAGCCTGGCTTCTTTCCTCGCCTCAGAAAGCGCCCTCGTCTTGCACAGCTTACAAGCCCATCTACCCAGATTCCAAGTCCAATCGTGCACCAAACGACCCCCAGACACCACTGAGGGGCGGGGTGGAGAGGGCAAAAGATTGGAGCCAGGGGCAGGAGGAGGAGGAGCAGGGGTAGGAGAAGGAGGAGGAGGAGGAGGAGGGGGAAGAAGAGGAGGAGGAAGAGGGGGAGGAACGAGGAGGAAGAACGAGGAGGAGCGAGGAGGGGCAAGGAGGAGCAAGGAAGAGCGAGGAGAAGGAGGAGGAGGAGGAGGAGGAGCAGCAGCAGCAGCAGCAGGAGGAGGAGGAGGACCAGGAGGAGGAGGAGGAGGAGGAGGAGGAGGAGGAGGAGAAGGAGGAGGAGGAGGAGGAGGAGGAAGAACAGGAGGAGGAACAGGATGAACAGGAGGAGGAGGAGGAGGAGGAGGAGGAGGAGGTTGAGCTTCGTGCCCTCCTCAAAAAAAAAGAGGAGGAGGAGGAGGAGGAGGAGGAGGAGGAGGAGGAGGAGAGCGAGGAGGAACTGGGCTTCTAGGGGCCTGCCGGCGCTTGGCGCGGCCCCTCTGCCCGCGGGGTGGACCCGGACCTGCCTGCGGAGCCAGCTGCGGGAGGGCCGAGAGCTGGAGCCACCTGCAGCCCGACGTGCCTGCAGCTTCTGCCCGTGCTGGCCACGAGATGTGTACCCAGCTCCCTGGTTGCAAGCGCGATTCTGAATTCCTCTTATGTTCTTCCTCTTCCTCCTCTTCCTCCTCCTCCCTCTGTTCCTCAACCCGGTGTCACTCCTTTTCCTGCCGGTTTCGATGGTTTTCTGCTGAGGTTCTTTCCATCAACTGCACTTCGGCCGAGAACCTTCTGCGGGGGCCAAGGATCGTCCAAAACGGCCGCCAGAGACCCGATTTATGGCCCGAAAGCCAGTTCTCCTCCTCCTCCTCCTCCTCCTCCTCCTCCTCCTACTCTTCCTGTTCCTCCTACCATGTCTCCTCCTCCTCCTCTTCCTCCTCTTCCTCCTCCTCCTCTTCCGTCCTGTGTCCCGAAGCCCTGGAACCCCCAGTCGGGGTGGTCGATACTGCCTGTATCGGCGGGATTCAAATTGAACCGGCGCCAATCGTAATTGTGGCGGCGGCGGGGTGCCCTTTGCTGGGGCGTGGCGGGAGTAGTCCTTCCATGAGTGGTGCGGCGTACCCGGTGAGGCGGGATCCAATTTGCGCCCCGTCGCCAGGCTCCCTCCTGGCTCGGGGTCCCTGGTCCCGCCTTGCTTGGATCACCACCCCCTCCAGGGGCACCTCGTCGGCCAGCGGCTCTCCACGGCACGAGGCATGGATGGTGAGCGTTGTCTTATTCGGCGCTTCGACATTGGGCTGGAAGGGGGGGAGGGGGGGGGATCTGGCCCCAGACCTCTGCTTAACGCGACTGTTTGCGAAAGTGCATCCTACGGGGGAGACTCCACCTGCCTGAAACATGCGCCCAAACCAGCCAAGATCTACTCCATGGGGGGGGGTGCGAGGGCCCGCGCCGATCGGCAACACAATGAACAAGAAAACGATAACCTGCCGCGAAGATCTAGTTGTTCAAATCTTCCGCCGAAGCCCCCGCCGAGCTGAGCAGCCAGAGCCCTGTCCCAGAGGCGACAGGAAGCGCAGGCGCCGTGGGCGTCTCGATGGTCCGTCGTTGTTTGTTTGTTGGGGAGGGGGGGCAGTGGCTCTTGCCCAGTCGCTGGCTGTCCAGGTGTCTCTCCGCGAAGGGTCGCGTCAAGATCGGTGCCAAGAACATCTTCCACGCCCCTTGTCACGGTCAGCGCCTGTTCTTTCGAGCGCGCCGACCGATCTGGCCGCATTGCTCCACAATGCTACTCCTCTCTCATGCTCGTCACTATCACCACCAGCATCACGACCACCACCACCATCAGCGTCACCATCGTCATCACCATCATCTTCCCCACTATCACCAGCACCATGCCCCTCATCATCATCCTCATCATCCTCATCCTCATCCTCATCCTTGTCGTCATCATCAGCATCAGCAGCAGCATCATCATCGTCATCATCATCATCATCATCATCAGCAGCATCATCATCCTCATCCTCATCCTCATACTCATCATCGTCCTCCTTCTTCTCCTCGTCCTCCTCCTCCTCATCATCATTACCAGCATCATCATCACCACCACCAGCATCATCATAATCATCAGCAGCATCATCAGCATCACCAGCATCGCCATCATCACCATCATCACTATCGTCACCGTCATCGCGATCATCACGATCCTCACCATGTCCATCACCATCACCGTCATCAGCACGATCTCCATCGCCATGACCAACATCACCACCACGACCACAATCAACACCACCATACTACCACCATCACCTACCACCATCACCACCACCATCACCACCACCACCAACAACAACGACAACAACATTACAATCAACATCACCCTGCCAGAGGAAGTGCTGCCCGAGGTGCACCAGTCCGTTCCGGCGCGCGTCGGGGGCAGCCAGGCTGCTGGAGCCAGCAGTGCAGCTCCACCTGCCGCGGGGGGCCAGACGCCCTCCGCCCGCGCGTCGCCCTCCTTGGCCCGCGACGAAGAAAAAACGGGGAGGACGAAGAGGAAGAGTAGGATGGGAAGAAGGAGGAAAGAGGAAGAGGAGGAGAGAAAGAGGAAGAGCAGAAGAAGGAGGAGAGGAAGAGGAGGAATAGGAGGAGAGGAAGAGGAGGACGGGATTTCCCCCCCTCCCCCCGAGGGATAAACTTATGTCGTTTAACCGTCGTTTGCACCGTTAGCCTCCTCGTCTCTCGCGCCCACCCGACGGCGGAGGGCCTCGAGCCCAGGGAGCAGGGCGTCCCTCTGGTCCTCCGTCCCAGGCGCCTGCCGGTAGACCGCGCGCTGGCGAGGCCGCTGAGCTGTCAGCAGCCTCTCGCGCTCCACCTCGCTTAGTACGTGGAGCACAGTACCACGAGCACGTTTCGACTGCAGGATGCAAACCACGACGCATACGGCCGAGGCGACAGCGAAAGGCAGACGACAATGCACGGCCTCGGCACAGCGTCTCGAGCAGCCCATTGCTCGGCTGCTGTGCGCTCCACGGCGGCGGCAAGACACGAGAGATGGATCAGAAGACAGGCGAGTGAATACCAAGTCATGTCCCTTCCCTTCTTCATCACTTGGAAGCTTACAGTTAGCTCGATGGCCAATACACCCTCTGTTACGTCGAGCCTAGCAGCACACAGACACACATATTCATGACACGAACGTCCCTGGGGCGCCTGCCACAATGGTCCACGCATGCCATCGCGCTTCTCCTGCGTGTCTGGGCTTCTGGACCGCGGGCTCTTTAGGAAACTGGGAGCCTGGAAAAGCGGCAAACCAGCTCCTATCATCCGCGCAATGACCCGCGCTTTCACGAGCCAGACGTCCAGATCCGCCAGGGCCGAAGGGTCCCCACGATCACGCATGGACAAGGCCTCCTTAGCATTTCCATCCGCCAAGAAGCTTCCCTGGCGGCGCCTCCGGCGCGGCCCCTGGCGCGCTCCACGCGCCAGTTAGGGGGGTCCAGCACGGATCTGCGCAGAGCGCCAAAAGTTTATGTTTATGGCGTTTTCCTTCTTCGAGTGAGCTGTGGTGGTGCTTCTTTGAGGAGTGCTCGTGCGCTGGCAGTGCGCAGCAGCCCTCGCGCGTCGGCGCACACTCGCCGCAGCCGCCCGTGCCAGGCGGGGCTGCGGGAGCGGGTCATGGGAGAAGTCGTGGCGGGCATGCCCACGTGGGTGAAGGCGAGGCCCCGAGCAGGGGACAAGAGCCAGTGTCGGCGGATCGCGGGTGCGTGGGTGCCGCGCTCGCCGCCGCCTCGCGCGGGCCTCCACGACCCGTAAGTCTCTCTGGCAATTGCTGCCGAGGAGCCTGCTCCTCCTCCTCCTCCTCCTCCTCCACCTCCTCCTCATCATCCTTGTGGTCCTCCCATCCCTTGCCTCCTCGTTTTCCTGCCCTTCCCCCCTCCTCCTCCTCGTCCCTCCTCCTGCTCCTCCTCCTCCTCCATCTCCTCGTCATCCTCCTCCTATCCGTCCATCCCCTGCCTTCCTTCTCCTTGCCAGTCCTCTTCCTCCTCCTCTTCAGCCTCCTGCCGACCTCCCTCCTGCCCTGCCTACTCCTCGTCACTCCTCCTCCTCCTCCTCCTCCTCCTCTCCTCCTCGTCCCTCCTCCTCCTCCTCCTCCTCCTCCTCCTCCTCCTCCTCCATCATTCCTTTTCCTGATAAACAACGTCTCCATGTCGCACCCCGAGGCCAGTTTTTAGGGCGGTCCGGGCATTTCGCCTGCGGCTTGCTCACCATTTATGACTCTGAAGCTTAAAACGTGGCAACCGTTTCACAGATGGAGGGCGGGTGGTTTTCAAAAAGTGGTTCTCGCTTTAGCGCGGCGCACATTCGTTGTAAAACAGTTGCAGAGAGCTTCACGGATGGAGGGCGGGTCGTTTTCAAAATGTGGCTTTCGCGCGGCACACATTCGTTTTAAACATTTGCATGAGCGTCACGGATTGAGGGCGGTTCCTTTTCTAAATGTGGCTGTCGCCGTAGCGCGGCGCACATTCGTTTTAAACATTTGCGAGAGCTTCACGGACTGAGGGCGGTTCCTTTTCTAAATGTGGCTCTCGTCTTAGCGCGGCGCACAATCGATTTAAACATGTGCAGCAATTTCACGGATTGAGGCCAGGTCGTTTTCAAACTTTGGCTCTCGCCTGAACGCCGCGCCGATTCGTTTCAACATATTTTAAGAGGTTCACGGGTTCCCATCACCAACGTACCAGAAATGGCGTTTTGGGAAAATTAAGGATTATGCGGGTGCAACAGTTACGTTGCTTTCCTGTGTTGAAGTCCTAGGGTGGAGCCCTGGCACGATTCAGGATCGTCAAGCCGCAACAGTCAGGTTGACCCGTGGCGTTGGAATCCCGAAAACAATGTTTTGGCATGCTTCACGGTCTTCAAACAGGTGCAATGGAAATGAATCGTAGTAGGGGCCTGTGAAGAGGGAGCTTGGATGGAGGGTTTACTACACCATCGTTGGTGATTCTTGG